CGATGTGTTACAGTCCTTACTTAGCGTAATAAATTCTTTGATTCTTTAGCTATCCAGTGGTGTAACTGAAATTTGGATGAAGATGATAGATATATAGCTACAACACTAAACTGTATCCCCCGATTTTGTTATCATTCGTTTTTTTGGATTGTCTCCCTATGGAAGTAATTTTAAAGACGTATTCACGTCAAAACATACAAATAAAAAACATACATACGTACCAATCTAATTAAAGCCTGTAACAATATGTATCACGTTTATTTATTAACCGCGCTCTTTATTCGTGAAGCTATTGTATTTTTTTACCAGTATTTCTGCTTAAATAAGTCCAAAGGTAGGGGCTCGACCCGTATCTCGAATGGAAGTAATTAGCAAAATTGTATGAAACTCACGGAACTAAAAAAAAAAGGTTTCGAGACAGAAAAATTAATGCTGTGTTTACAGATGATTTTAAAAATGATGCTTCGACGGCCGTCTGGTGTAGTGGTAAGTGACATGGTCACTACACAAGGGGGTCGCGGGTTCGAATCCCGCCAAGGGAAGATATTTTGTATTATAAATATAAAATGTCTTTTCCAGGGTTATGGATGTATATTAAATATATAAAAATCCTACATTTATTTCCGTTATCGGGTACCTGTAACACAAGTTCTTTACGTACTTAGCACGGGACCAGTTAACGTGGCGTGATTGTTAGTAAATATTTATATTTATTTATTTATTCGATTTACTGGAGTTTTTGTGGTACAAACATCACAACAGTATAACTCGATGTTCCACGGTTTTGAGTATCCCAGTCATGATTATATTTTTGATTGTCTTTGGTAATAAAAAAGTTTGAAGTAGTCGTGGCTCGTGATTCAGACTCCGGTTGTAGCTTTATCGACTGATACTGCTACGCCGGATCTCGGAGACCTTTTTGGTGGGAATGCGAGGAGTGAAGTTGTGTGATTTGTTTTATTTTGTCTATTTTGTGTTTCTTCAGGTTTAAATGTGTAATAATGGTGGCTTATTAACTGTTTAGTATCTGTGAAAGTACAAAAATGTGGGAAAAAAAACCAGTGGATGTAGCTTTTTTTTATTGCTTAGATATGCGGACGAGCTCACAGCCCACCTGGTGTTAAGTGGTTACCGGACCCCATAGACATCTACAAAGTAAATGCGCCACCCAACTTGAGATATAAGTTCTAAGGTCTCAAGTATAGTTACAACGGCTGCCCTACCCTTCAAACCGAAACGCATTACTGCTTCACGGCAGAAATAGGCAGGGTGGTGGTACCTACCCGCGCGGACTCACAAGAGGTCCTACCACCAGTCAAAGCTTCTCGAGATCCTCCAAAAAGTCCACTGAAAAAGTCTCCGTAATTAACCACTATTTTACTGAGAATATATCTCATCCCATACATCTCATCTCATTTCATTTCACTTCATATTATCATTTTTCATATATAAAAAAATTATAGTGCACTTTTCATTAAAATTCAATTAAGACTTGACCTAAAGGTCTTAGTTACCAGGTCATAAAATCCCCGGATCTCAAAATCTGATAGGGATATGTTTTTCTAAACAGTTATGCGAGTCACGTTCACGGATGCTTTGAACGTTGGAGGAAGTATCGGTGTTGCAAGTTCACCAGTTCAGCCTATATCATGAGTGATCACGGATATATACAGGGTGTATATCGTTTCTACTTTAATGATGTAACAATCGTTGTGCAATACAGTTGAGACATTGAACATTATTCTTAAAACAACACGTTGTAGAGCTACCGACGAAAAATCCTCAGACAGTGACCTGAGGTTGTCATGGTCTAAAGGATAAGACGTCCAGTGCATTCGTATCGAGCGATGCACCGGTGTTCGTATCCCGCAGGCGGGTACCAATTTTTCTAATGAAATACGTACTTAACAAATGTTCACGATTGACTTCCACGATGAAGAATTAACATCGTGTAATAAAAATCAAACCCGCAAAATTGTAATTTGCGTAATTACGACCCTGCCTATTTCTGCCGTGAAGCAGTGATGCGTTTTGGTTTAAAGGGTGGGGCAGCCGTTCTAACTATACTTGAGACCTTAGAACCTATATCTCAATATGGGTGGCGCATTTACGTCGTAGATGTCTATGGGCTCCAGTAACCACTTAACACCAGGTGGGCTGTGAGCTCGTCCACTCATCTAAGTAATAAAAAAAAAGACAATGACCTAGTTGCTGGAGATAGGTCACGTACCAGCATATATTAATTTGAGAGCTTGACTATTGTGAATTCCCCGTTAAACCTTCTAAACTTTTTATGTCAATAGCCCTTCTATTTAACAAACCGTTTGTAATATAATAGGACTCAGTATTGTCCACTAAGCGAATTGGTACAGTCAGCATTGTTTCTGAGTCCGTAGACATTTTGATGTCCATTGTGACTATTTGCTGTGTGTTCGATAATGCACGCCATCTATACTAATATTATAAAGAGGAAAGATTTGTTTGTTTGTTTGTTTCGAATAGGCTCCGAAACTACTGGACCGATTTGAAAAATTCTTTTTCCATTAGAAGCCGACATTGTCCCTGATGAACATAGGCTACTTTTCTTAAAAAAAATTTCATTTTTTTTTTGGTTTCATGTGTGTTTTAATGCTTCCGAAGCGAAGCGAGGGCGGGTCGCTAGTACTCCAATAAGAAGAAAGTGAAGGAAAAACAGAAAAACTTCGTAGAGTTGGGCTCGTCAGGTCGCCCTCTCGTCCCTACAGGAGCTGTAAAAAATAACTCAAAACGCCTAATTTAGCAGGTTTTATTAAGATTTTACGACACGACCAGACGAAAGCAAGTTATTGTTGTACTGTTATGTAGACAACAATAAAAACCGGTTTGAAGCCACGAAAACTCTTATCAAAAACTATTTTTTGATCTTTTATGTATCAAAATGGTTCTCTCATATACGTTTTTTTTTTATTGCTTAGATGAGTGGACGAGCTCACAGCCCACCTGGTGATAAGTGGTTACTGGAACCCATAGACATCTACAACGTAAATGCGCCACGCACCTTGAGATATAAGTTCTAAGGTCTCAGTATACGGCTGCCCCACCCAAAATTACAAGAATAAAGTGTTTTAAGATTAATTTTGTCGTCAAATACTTAATGTAAATATTACGTAAATGATGTACACGTATTTGACAGGAACAATAAGATACAAATGCTACAATTACCCTGGACGAATTGTTTTTACATCCGCGCCGTACTGTTTTGGTGAAAGACACACATTAATTGTGTTGCTTTGATCAATTTAATTGGTTTCACGTTTTATTGAACATCGATGTATAAATTTTCTAAATGAAAATTCAATGGTAATAAGGATTATAAATGTTTGAAAAGGTTTTTAATTTATTACAAAAAAAAAAATTTCAAATGAATAATAATATTCTCTTAAATTTGTCCCTTTTTTGCTGTTTTTGCGATAGAACTGAATTATTTTAATTTTTAATTACGTGGGATGGATGAATGGACGGTCTAACTGTTGATAAGCGGTTTACGGAGTTCAAAGCAGAGAGAAACGACGGCTCAACATAACATAAGCGCTCTGAAGAATTATTTAAGATGATACTATCATCTCGTTTTTACCATCGCACCGCTATCCACCGGAGTAGAGTTCATCCATACTACCTGGAGCGACTGCGTTCATCCACAGTGCGTTTCCAGAGGTCTTTTTTGCCACGTACCATCGGGCTATGGAATGGGCTCCCCTCCACGGTGTTTCCCGAGCGCTATGACATGTCCTTCTTCAAACGAGGCTTGTGGAGAGTATTAAGCGGTAGGCAGCGGCTTGGCTCTGCCCTTGGCATTGCTGAAGCCCATGGGCGACGTAACCACTCACCATCAGGTGGGCCGTATGCTCGTTTGCCTACAAGGTCAATAAAAAAAACATAAGTTCTTAGAGCCGTTAATATTACAACTAGTTACTGCACAATTACTATATTTAATTTAAAGTGAATCTTCCAGAGTGAGTAGGAGCAGGCCGGACCAAGTAGACCTGGCGGCGTACTGTGGCAGTGGTAATGAAGACGGCTAACCTGGTCCCGAGAAGAATGCGCTAACACCGCTTTTGATGGCAAGATACTGCTGAAGATTTCTACCTCACCCCCTATCATAACCGTAAACAATTAGACCTCTTGTGAGTCCGCACGGGTAGGTACCACCACCCCGCCTATTTCTGCCGTGAAGCAGTAATGCGTTTCGGTTTGAAGGGTGAGGCAGCCGTTGTAACTATACTGAGACCTTAGAACTTATATTTCAAGGTGGGTTGCGCATTTACGTTGTAGATGTCTATGGGCTCTAATAACCACATAACAGCAGATGGGCTGTGAGCTCGTCCACCCATCTAAGCAATAAAAAAAAACATGCACTTAAAACGACCATAAGTAATTGTGTCAATATTATTGGCAATATCGAACGCTGACATCAGTGTAAAATGCATTGAAAACCGGATAAAACCGGTTTTTGTAACCGAGCGCTACATTCAACAGTATTTAAATTTAAGTCAGCAGTCAGCGTTCGGTCTCCGCGAGCTACGCACGTAGACCCGTCGTCTGCTCCGCGCTACGAAGCTACGTACATTGTAATTTCCCAATTCCGTGATGCTACGACTAAGTCTCAGTTTAAATAAAGAAAAGTAATATGTATTTTATTTTACTAGCATCTCATTTTAATTAAAAAAAAGTTAAATAAATATTATATCATAAATAAATATTAAAAACTTGTGACTCGATTTAAATAATGTTTATACATAGTGTTCCTTGTGACGACGTTTGTTTTGTAAAGTATTTAAAATGTAAAAAGAGTGAAATTTAAATTAAAATATCAAAATTTTACTTTCATGTGAAATTAAGTTTTAAGCTTATCTGTTTAAGTACGTAAATTGAGTGTAAAGTTTTTTTTTTTTTTGAAACCGTATCTAGAACAAATCAATGTAATATAATTTTTAAAAAAAACCGGACTTTTTACCATAAAAATGGTTGAATTCACACGAGAAAATGAAACTGTGTCTGAACTAATATCGCGCTGCACGAATATCTCTCACTTCGACTGCACCGAAGACGCGATGCTGTGGGTGATGATGGGACCACGAAGGCTTCCCCTGCAGAAAATCGTGCCCATATCGGTACTGCTCCTGGTCATATTCGTAACGGGAGTGGTGGGAAATCTGACCGTCTGCGTGGTCATAGTACGACACCCCACGATGCATACCGCCACCAATTATTATCTTTTCAGTCTGGCGCTCAGTGACTTGTTGCTGCTATTATTTGGTAAGTTAATTTTAAGTAATTTAAGTAATTGTCTCTAGGTGTTTTTTTTATATTACTAGCAAATAAAATGAGACTTGAATTCAAATTTTGCCATTATTATTGATCACGGCGTGTAGAGCTAATAGTTATAGACTCGACAATACTAAAAGAAACGCGATGTAAAAATCAGCATTGCCCTTCCTAATCCAAGACGCCCGCTACAAGTCTTATCGGCTGCTCCACCCTTCAAACCGGAAAATCCTAAAGAAATATAGTAAAACTAGCTTTTGCCCGTGACTTCGTCCGCGTGAAATAGTTCATAAATAATGCTTTATTTTAGGACAAATTTGTTTAATATAAAAAAACGTTATAGTGAGCCAACCTTAACATTTAGACATGTGCTGTCGCGGAATTTTTTTTAGATCTTTTAAAGGGGAACAATTCTTTCATACATTAATTTAGCGAAACTTTAACCGTTTCCGCAGCGCACGCAGCGGAAGCCCTCAAAAGGGATTAAAACCCCGATTTTGAAGCATTATTTATTGGTGCTCCACCTGCATTAGTCTCAGCGTGATGTTATATAGCCTTTAGCCTTTCTCGATAAATGGACTATCTAACACTGAAATAAATTTTCATATCGGACTTCCTGAGATTAGCCCGTTCAAACAAACAAACTCTTCAGCTTTATAATATTAGTATAGAAGTATAGATATCGAAGGGCGGCTAACAGGAAAGTTTACTTGTAGACGCGCGACTTTCCCAAAGTTCTATCCCAACGCAGGACGAAACTTTTCTAAATAAATCTGAAGTTTATATGTGTTTACGTGCGACAGTGTTAGAAAGAAACTGATCTGTATTTCTGACACTGTTAATATCAGTGAACGAAAGACACCAGCTACTATTAACTTTTTAAAATAATCCTTCTTTTATTTTAGTGATTTTGGTTGGGACATTATGCCAAAGTAATAAAATTATTGTATTAACACATTGACCACCATTTAGGTAATGTAATAAAAATCAAACCCGCTAAATTTTAATTTGCGTAATTACTGGTTTGCGTAGTTTCGATTAGTTTCTTATTGGTGGTAGGACCTCTTTTGGGTCTGCACGGATAGGTACCACCACCCCGTCTATTCCTGCCGTGAAGCAGTAATGCGTTTCGGCTTGAAGGGTGGGGCAGCCGTTGTAACTATACTGAAACCTTAGAACTTATATCTCAAGGTGGGTGGCGCATTTGCGCTGTAAATGTCTATGGGCTCCAGTAACTCGTCCACCCATCTAAGCAACAACAAAAAAAGGTAATCGGTGCCCTACGCGCGCACTGAAGTAATTATGTCGATTTCTCTCTTGTATCTTCTTATTAAGGAACCGGAATATCTAGTTGACTCTGGGAAACGAATCCGAAGATACTGAGAATGAATCTATTTCTAATTTCGAATTTCTACATTAAAAACAAAAGAATAATAATAATAATAATAATAATAATTTATTTATTTCTTTCTTAAAGGTACAAGGTACATACAAATTCAAATGGAAATAAATTAACCTTATCATTTATTTTGTAAGCCTTTGAAAGAGCTGAAGTCTGTACTAGGTTCAAAGACCTGTATTACTGATCTCCAGGCTCCCTCCTTCTTAAGATAGATTAGGTTAGGTTAAGTCATGAACAGATGAGAATACAAAGTTAGGCAATCCACGCGCCTAGTAACAGAACAGACAGTATTAATTAATATATATGGTGTGGATTGGGACAGGCCTATGTCTGATGATCATGTTATATATAGCAGGAGTGACCAACTTGATTAGAACCAAGATCTGCTCTTTACTAACGAAGCCAGGTGCGATCTACCAAAGACATTTCTTGAAATTTAATGAAAGAATACAGTATTCAATATACAAATAAGTATCATAGTATATTTTATTTTATTAACAAAGATTAACATACGACTGAAATTTAATCTAAATAACTACTTCTTAGTGTGAGTATTACGTCTGAGCATCTTACCTTAGTTTGTAAAATCAGATTGGTGTTTGGAAATTGCCTTAAAGAATCCAATTTATATTCGTCTGTCAAGGGAGAACGGTATTTATTCTTTATTTGTTTCAAGCAGGATAAAGCTGATTCACAAAAATATTAACTAATAATTGTTAAATATGTTGAAAGAAAACATATTTAACAAATGATACAGGATCAAGGATCTCTCCTACGTATCTATATTTTGCCACGATCGAGGTTTTGAAGTTAATCGGACGTCTTCAAGTCTGGGAAAACGGCGCTTAAAGATTAGATTACACTAGAGATCCTGCAGTAGTCGAAATTCGACTATAATTTATAATTAATGGGAATTGTAAGTTTGTACACTATTATGATTGTATTTTATACTTCTATAATCACAAATTTCGCCAAGACTACACTATAAAAAATATTAACAAAGACAAACAATATTTAATCTATTCTCAATTTGACAACGATGTTAAGAACAAAAGTTTGACAATAAATAGTATGCATGCGTGTGTGGGTCAAATACATGGTATGTAGGGTGCGTAATGTTTTCTTTATTGATTTAATGTATCTTTTATGCATTATTTAAAAAAATATTATCATTGTGCACTTCTTCTCTATATTCTCTATAAGTGTGGAAATTTTCATACTCCTCCGTCCGCGCAATTTTCGTAAAAAGGGATACAAAGTTTTTGCTTCACGTATTAATATATAGATTACAAACAAAGATACATCGTTTACGTTGACGTCATACAAAATTAAACTAATATAAATACAATACATTATTTATATATAATTAAAATTATTAATCACTACATAGTATAAAACAAAGTCGCTTTCTGTGTCCTTATATCTGTCTGTCCCTATGTATGCTTTAATCTTTAAAACTACGCAACGGATTTTGATGTGGTTTTTTTTAACAGATAGAGTGATTGAAAAGGAAGGTTTATATGTATAATAACATCCATTAAATAGTGGAGAAATACTGTTATAAATAATAAATTACAGTTCCCTAAGCGAAGCGAGGGCGGGTCGCTAGTATATAAATAAAATAAAGCTGATTTTCCCTTCTAATTAAAATTTAGCAGTTTGGGCAATTTTGTTCCTAAATTGGTGTTTAGCTCTGTACTCTGTCGGCTGCGTGTTGACATTGTTAATGAAATGTCATCTAATGTAATTCAGTCGCATGTTAATCTAGCTTTTTTGAAAGCGTATTTCAAAGAAACCGTAAGCAAATTGGGTCACACCGGTCTTTGAACCTCAAACCGCAGACACTGTAATCATCTAATTTTATGGTTATTAAATTACATTGGACCTATGTAAATAGGGCGTTTTCAATCTACCTAATAGCTGAAATGGTACTTTTCCTAGAATAGTTTACGCGTAAAATAGTTGAGCCAGATGATCCTTTGCACGGCCCATGCGGTGTTAAGTGGTTACCGATAGATTACACAATGCGGATTCTGGTACCTCAATACACAAAGACTAAGTCTTAATCACATGGCGGGACAGGGCGTATGCTCATCCTATAAGTAATATAAAAATAACCGTGTCAATTAACGCTCCAAAAAGTTTTCTATAAATCTACTTTTATGGTAGGCTCTGCCCTTGGCATTGCTGAGGTCTATGGGCGACGGTAACCACTCACCATCAGGTGGGTCGTATACCCGTCTGCCTACATAGGCAATTTTTTTTTTAAATAATGAAACTGCAAGGACCTTTTAAAGAACATGAAGAGAAAATGAATTATGTTAATTAAAAAAAACATTAGCCGCGGAGTTTGTTTCAACGGCTCTCCTCAGTATCATGCCTTTTTAATACGCTTTTATTAGCTTCAGACGTATGTATGTTTGTAACGGAATCTTTGAACATGATTTTGACCCCCTTCAAAACGTCGGATTAACTTCAAATTTGGTATACTTATTAAGGACCGAAGACAATTCAATTTAAAAAAATAATAAAAAAATAATAATTGAAAACATTGAAAATCAACTAAAAAATGAAAAATAAATAATAGTTTAAAAAAATTAACAAAATACGCTTTTAATAGAAATTCTATTTTCTACACAAAACACGCTTTTTTTACAATAAAATCATGTTTTCTTACACTATTTTTAATTCAAATTTATTTTCTATCTTTTAGTTGGATTTTCTATAAAAGCGTATTTTGTTAGTTTTTTTAAACTATTGCTCATTTTAAAATAAAAATAAAAACGGTATTTTTATAACATTTAAATTGAATTAAAAATTTTCAATTCGGAAACCGGAACGTACTGTTGCATTTCCCTTACACCAACATAACTTTTATGTCATTATTGAATCTCTAATACTCTATGCTGTCGTCGAATCTATGAATTACATTCAATTGCTAAGACTATACACGCGCCACCTCTGATCAGTTGATAGTGCTACAATAGACGGCTTCCCTGTAGTGCCAACAACAACCATTTTAAGTTTAATCGCAATAACAATTTAACTGCTTAGAAATGCACACAGGACAAAGGGTTCTGTTTAGATAGATAAGCATGTTATAGACACTGTTATGTGACGGGTTCTAACCACATTCTTTATAGGCAATGGAATCCTGACGTTGCAGCGTGTTCCAAGTATCATGATCACTGTTTGACTTAAGATTGCGCCGCGAGTCTGGTTGTAGTGTTGACCGCGGGAACCCCCTACTTTTACCGAGTTCTGACCCCGGAAAGAGACCGGACGTCGGGTGTAAGAGTGCAGGGGGTCGTTTATTGCAGTAGGTCCCTAAAACTCCTTGGGCCCACTGTCTGCCCCCAACATTTGTAGATCGTAAAGTCCTACATACCCCACAGACCTCGTAGGAGGTTCGGCCCCCGGCCTGAAAAAAAGAGAGACTGCGGGTAGCGTGAATATTAAGTATATCATCTATGGGTGGGATGCTAGAGGCAGACAAATTTGTCTATCTTCTTTTTCGTCCGGTTTTTACCACTGGAACTCAACGGCTCGATGACAGATACCTATTTTTTGTTCAAGTTTTGATGATATA